ATAAAATATCATATACAAACATGACATATTCGTTCATACAGGTCCTATACCAGAAGGAACCCAGCTTACTTCATTGAATATTACTTCATACGAGGGAAACCCACACTACTACAATATATGCTATCACCGTCGGAGTCAAAACCGACAAGAAATCAGATTTCTGTCGCAATTTTGGCAAAAATGCGACATAAAACAATGTAATGTCGCATTTTCAAAGCGACACTATTGCTAGCGTCACGAAAGGGCTTTAGCGTCGGTTTGGTGGCTTAAACCGACACTACATAGCGTCGCTTTAAAGCGACACTAAACTAACGTCGGTTTAAAGCGACGCATACTTACACGTTACGTCGCTTTAAGGCAACGTTCAATAGCAATTTAATTGTAAAATATAATTCCTACTGTCGCTTTTAAATGACACTGAAATAATATTAAATCAATTTAATATCCCATAAACCGACGTCAATTAACAATTAAATAAATAAAATATGCAACCGAATAACGGTCTTAACCGACACCACCTTTGTTAATAATAATAAAAAAAAACATACAAATCGCATTCTTCTTCGATTCATTGTAACAGAAAAATTTTATATAATTATATTAATTAATTTCAAGGTCAAAAGAAAAACATTAAAAAAATAATTAAAAAAAATAGTGCCAACATACACAATATTGTCCATACATTAATGAAAATAATTAACAATAAAAATAATGTCAAAATATACAAAAACCCATCCGTCATAACAACTACTAAATCCGACATTACAAACATAACATAAAAAAAAAAAAGATAGAACGATTAAAGTGTCATATTTAACCGACAAGAAAGCGAACCAAATAAACTACGGAACCGAATCTGCGCCTGAACGTGGCACAGATCCTTCTCGCCCTTGAGGTCCTATATTTGATGCCAACATCCTCGACAAGTCCACATCAGATCCAACACCCGCAAGCATTTCAGCAAACCCCCCAGCTGGAAATTCAGGACAAGGCGCAGCCATCTCGGGTCGATATACTGGCACTTGATAAGGCGGCTCCTGCATGTAAGGCATGGGAGGCTGCTGCATGTATGGCATAGGCGGCTGCTGCATGTATGGCGTGGGCTACATAGGCAGCAGATACATAGGATACGGAGGTTGCTGATTATAGCCAGCATAAGGATATGCAGGGGGCGGCTGACTTTGACCCGACTGTTGAGGAGGAGGAGGCTGACTCTGGCCTGACTGTTGGGTTCCCGGGCTAAACGGTGGTTGTGGTTGTGCTTGTGGTTGAAATCTTTGGAAAAGCCACGCAAACAACTGACTTTGCTTGTTCTCTAGGTCCGAAATCCGTTTATTGTTATTTTCGTCCCTCAATTTCAACTCATTATTTTGAGTCATCAGCAATGCCATTGCACTGTTAGATGACCTCTTGGAGGAAATTGATGTAGAAGACGAAGAAGATGCATAGGACACCATATCAGGAGTCACCCCATGACCGTATCCTCTGACTCTATTATACCTCTCAGGACCCATTGTGTCAACATACACTTGGTTCCTAAGATCTTCATTATCCTCTTGCCCCGACTGAATCAAAGTTTGCAGATTGCTCTCCATTGTTGCCTAGCATTACAATTTTTAAAAAGAAAAATTCAATCATAAAACAGAACAATAAGCTATAGATAATAAATTTGAATAATAATGAAATACCAACACAGTAAAATAAATTACCCCTGTACGCTCCGATTCTTCATCAATCCAAGCTTCATTTTTTCGTGTATGACATTCACGAAAAAAGGTTACAGGATCAGCTTCTTTCCCATGCTTCTTCCGCTTTACCAAAAATAAAATTTCACACAAACAATTTTAGGCTAACCTCGTTAAAATTAAAATTTATAACTATAGAATATTTAAAATAACATTTCTTCAAATTGTACAATCCATACATATCTTTGCCGCTTTCTTGCAAAAGATTTTGTACCAGTAGTATGGTTCATTGTTTTCTTTTGCCGATTAATCTTGTTTTTTTCAGCAACCTCCTGAAAATAAAAATAAAAAAATTATTACACAAATTTATAGTTATAACGAAATAAACTACATCGTTTACCTTTGTTTTATCTCCACTCCAGTATGCCAACAAATTACCCCACTGGGTAGGATTCACATCAGGAGGAGGCTGGGGACGCTCCTCTGCAGCTCTGTTGGTATAATATTTTTTTTTTAACTTATTTCTGTACTCCTTATGTGCATGCTCAGCAACCTTAAGCGTCATAAAGCGGATCAAAGGCAATCTTGGTATATCAGCATCTTCAAAAACAATATTTCCCTACATCCATAAAATAAAAAATAAAAAAAATAAATCAACCAAGTCAAATATTATAACAATCATTGAATTATTCTTTTATTTTCTAATAAAAATATAAATACCTATACCTTAATTCTATTCCAAAAAGCTTCCTTATCTACATCCTTAATCTTACGCCAATGCTTCGCCAATGGGAGAATTCTGTGGTCTCTAACCTCCGATGCCACATATTTTGAAAATGCACTAGAGTTATCATTAACGCATTTTCCAGACATATCAAACGAACAAAGCTGTTTCGTCCATTTGGGAATTGAGGGTCCTCGCCTCCGTTGAGAAGTTCCTTGTTCATAACAAAACCACAGTTAAAACAAACCAAAAAAGTTGGAAACAGATGTAAACTTTCAGTTTATAAGGATAATAGAAGATTAAACACAAAAAAAAAAAAAAAAACGAATCCAATAATAATGTAGAAAAATAACCAGCTTCAACCTCCTCCTCTTCCACATGAAGTTCCTCATCACGTTGAGAATCACAACTACTATCCATAGCAAAACCAAAGGAAGAAGTGCGGAAATAGGAGTGAAGGGAGTGAAATGGGGAGTGAAGGGAGTGAAATGGGGAGTGAAATGAGAGAGACGGAAATAGGTCGTAGAACCTTAAATATGCCAAAAAAATTAGCGTCGAAATATGCAACTATTACGTCGCTTCAAAGCGACACCACCTCTGCAACATTTTTGACTAGCGTCGAAATAGGGTAACATTGCGTCGCTTCAAAACGACGTTAGGTCTGACAGATTTAAATAGCGTCGAAATAGAGGCTAATTGCGTCGATTTGAACCGACGTTATTCTGACAGACAGTAATTGCAGTGGCCTCGGAATTGGACGTGCGAATGTGACCGAGGCGTCGAAATATGGGCATATTGCGTCGCTTAAAACCGACGTTATAGTCTGACATTTCTAACTAGCGTCGAAATAGAGGACAATGACGTCGGTTTTAACCGACGTTATTCTGACAGACATTAATTGCAGTGTCCTCGGAATTGGACGTGTGAAAGAACCGAGGCATAGAAATAAATGCCTGCGTCGAAACAATAACTGGTTGCGTCGGTTTAAACCGACGTATAATACGAGGCGTCGAAATAATAAGTGGTTGTGTCGAAATAATAAGTATTTACGTCGATTAAAACCGACGCCACTACTTATTATTTCGACGCAACTATTTATTATTTCGATGCTTCGGTTCTTTCGCACGTCCAATTCCACCCTAATTCTTCCGATCCATTTCCCCGTGCAAAAAAACCGGGAAAATTCCCGCCCAACAAAAAAATAAAAAAAGAGTTTAACTAAAAAAGAAAAAATGGAAACGCAGGAGAAAAAAAAATAGTTAAAATAAAAAAAGGTTATTTCTTATAATATTTTAATATATAAAATTTAACTTATACATAATGCTTAATAAAAACACAAATATAATTTTAGGAACATTGTGATATTGATGGCTTATATTTGAATTGTTTTAATCAAACATCTATAATTTTGAAACTTTTGATCAAACATTGTTCGGTTTATAATATCCTTAAAATTTTGATTTTTATTGTAAATAATTGACCAACTAGTTCATAAAATATTATGATAAATATTCTAAATTCACCACAAATATTCTATCTTAACTTATCATTATTCGTTTAAAATGAATTTTTCTTATGCAAATAATTTGTTGTATTAAAACGATACATTCACTAACACTTAAACAGTTTATTCATACTTTCATTAAGTATAACACAAGATTTTGGGATATCCACTAGTGTAAATATTTCAAATTGAAGATCGCATTCATTCACCGTATTCATATAGGGTGAAGGAGTGTACATATAAAAAATCATCAAAATCGGAGTTAAAATAACCGTTACATCGTGATTTTTCGTTAATAACCGTCGAATAAGTTTTTCCCGTTACTGTGTCTCAGAAAGTTTTTTTTTTTTAATTTTTGGCGTATGCGATCTCGAAGTATACACAAACATGTTTGACGGTTCGATCGTTGAAATTAGTTTCGTAGAGTTCGTATTCCATCAAAACGATACATTCACTAACACTTAAACAGTTTATTCATACTTTCATTAAGTATAACACAAGATTTTGGGATATCCACTAGTGTATAAAATTGTTAAAGTTTTTAGAAGTATAAAATTGTTAAATAAAAAAGAAAAATAGTGTAATTAACGGCTCAAAAAATTTCGTGAACTTTAAATAAGAAAAAATAATCATCCTTTCTTCGCATTAATACATATAATTCACAACAGGTTTTTAACTTGCGTCGAAATAGACTCACATTGCGTCGAAATAGGCTTATATTGCGTCGGATCAAACCGACGTAATATGACAGTCTGCGTCGAAATAATCTTAGTTTGCGTCGGTTTAAACCGACGCTAAAATGACATTGCGTCGAAATAAGCTTTCATTGCGTCAGTTAAAACCGACGCCAACTTAATTAAAAAACCGCGAAAAATGCCGCCCAAAATATTTTAATTAAACCGACGTCGGTTAAAAGCGACAGGAAACAAGCTAAAAAAAAAAAAATTATAACCCAATATTAAAAATAAAAGGTTTAACTTATATTTAATACTTAATAAAAAAAAACAAAAATATAATTTTGATAATAAGATAACATAACATACGAAATGAAAGATAGGATAATTAATACATAAAATAATTAACATATTTATTCTCCTTCATCATCTGTTAGCTCATCGTCAACATTGGCATGATTAACGAACTCGGTAGGCAGCGCTAATGATTCAAGAAAAGGAGTCCCTTCCACGCCAACCCTTGTATGAAAATTTTCATTATCAAGAATTCGATCATCCAAATTCGGTATGGCATAATCATCAATAGCATCACTATCCTCTAGTACGTCAAACAAATCCCTCGGCTGAGTTCGAACAACTACGTGCCAATCTTTTTCAATTGTGTCCTCCACATAAAATGCTTGTAATGCTTGTGATGCTAGTATGAAAGGATCCTCTTTAAATCCCAATTGATTGAAATTCACCATAGTAAATCCATATTGATCGGTCTTCATTCCTCGTGGACTTTCACTATTAACCCATTCGCACTTAAATAACATCACAGCTCGACCCCTATCTTCCGCCTCAGTAGGACCACAATATTTAACCTCGAACATATCAACAACTCTGCCATAACAATTCACTTGCCCAATTGCTCCAGGAACATTTGCAGGTACAAAGACACCACAATTTTGATTCTTATGCTTATCATCCACAGATTTTATACGAAATCTAAACCCATGAACAATGTGACTTTTATATCTACTCACAACCCTACTAGGATAATTAGCTAGCCAATGCAAGTCTTCAGATATCAACGTGTCATTAGCATGATAGCTTGAATTCATCTGTAATAAGTATGAAGATAAAAATTGACAGAATAACTATAACATGTTATAATTAAAATGCAAAACAATAAATAAATAATGTGATTGTTATATCAACTCACATGTTGCTTGAACCATTCTGGAAATTCTTTCTTGCTTAGCTCCTTAATTTGGCGCATAGTTAACCTTTCTCGACGATGTTTAGTTTTCAAGAATTCCTCATGTTGGCTACACAATTATGTCGAAATTTAGATAATTAATTTTTCAAAGTTAAGAAAATCAATAAAACATTAAAACGTGTGATTAAACGTTATTACCTTCTAAATGGGTTCACTTCATCACAATTATTTAGAATATATCTATGGCACTGATCAAGAGTATTTAGATCGAGCTCCACATGTTCTCCTGAACCCATATAACATCCTTTGGAGTCAAAAATTGATAACCCACCAGACACTCCACGTCCAATACCATCTTCATTTCGGCCTCTACGGTTACGACGAGACTCGACACCTCTAAGATACATGGAACAGAAGGACAAGCACTCATCCACCAAATTTGCTTCAGCCATAGAACCTTCAGGACGACCTTTATTACGAACATTGCGCTTCAACGTTTGCAAATACCTATAATTATAAATTAAAGTTATGACTACAATTGTAATAATTATAAATTAAAGTTATGACTACAATTGTAAAAAATTTATAAAAAAATTATTAATTACCGTTCAATTGGATACATCCATCTATAGGGAACAGGCCCTGCAAGAGCTGCTTCATCTGCCAAGTGAACTGGAAGGTGCACCATAATATCAAAAAAATGCAGGAGGAAATATTTTTTCAAGTTGACATAATGTCAAGGCAATTCTTGAACTCAGTTCCTTGAAATCCTTCCTCAGACTCCTTCTTACTACACAACTGTCTGAAAATTGCACTCAACTCTAATAATACCATAGTAACAACTTTAGGCAAAACCGGGCGTATTGCAAGCGGGAGTAACTGCTGCATTAAAACATGGCAATCATGACTTTTTCAACCCATGTATTTTTCGTTCATTCACGTGCACACATCGCGATAAATTTGATGAATATCCATCGGGGACCCGAATAGTAGACAACACATTGCAAAACGCGCAGTTTTTTCTTCTCTTTTCAACGTGAACAAAGCTGGAGGTAGAAATGTTCTATTTCCTTCTCTACGTGGGTGTTGACTGCGTCTTATGTTCAAGACTTCAAGATCTGCACGTGCAGCCAATCCATCTTTAGACTTTTCTATACCTAGCAATGTTCCCACCAGACTGTCACATATATTCTTCTCGATATGCATAACATCAAGATTGTGTCTAATCAACAGATGCCTCCAATAAGGTAGTTCATAAAAAATAGATTTCTTCTTCCACTGACTGTTACCACTTGTACTGCTCGAAGTTCTTTTTCTGCGTTGCCCGACTGAAGCATTTTTCTTTGGTTTTCCAAAAGTAAATCTCAATGTACAAAGTTCTTCAAGACATTGTAAACCAGTCCACTGCCTTGGTGCACTACGATGCTCACGATGCTCACGACGACCATTAAAAGCTGTGGTTTGCCTTCGAAACCTATGATTATCTTCAAGAAACCGTCGATGCCCCATATAACAAATTTTACGACTCGCCGGCAAGTAAATGGATTCTTTATCATGCATGCAATGTGGACATGCTTTATAGCCATGTGTACTCCATCCTGACAACATTCCATAAGCCGGAAAATCACTTATAGTCCATAAGACAGCAGCCTTCATCATAAAACTTTGGTTGGAATACGCATCATAAGTTGGAGTGCCCACCTCCCACAACTCATTCAACTCGTCAATCAGTGGACGCATGTATACATCAATCTCTTTACCAGGACTGCGCGGTCCTGGTATTAAAAGAGACAACAACAAATTTGGTTGCTTCATGCACATCCAAGGCGGCAAATTGTAAACAGAAAGCACCACCGGCCATGTGCTATGATCATTCCTCATTTTTCCAAAAGGATTAAATCCATCACTGGCCAACCCTAATCGAACATTTCGAATTTCTGACGACGCAAAATCCGGATATAAATTATCCAAATGCTTCCATGCTGGAGAATCTGAAGGATGTCTCATAAACTCATCTTTAGGACATTCAATTGCATGCCACCTCATATGTTCAGCCGTATGCTTCGACATAAAAAATCGTTGCAATCTTGGTTTTAAAGGAAAATACCACATAACCTTAGCTGCGATCTTTTTTTTCTCGACCTATCCGCTGCGTTGGTAACTTTATATCTTGATTCACCACAAACCGAGCACACGGTCAAATCCGAAGTATCTTTCCAATAGATCATGCAATCATTGGGACATGCATCAATTTTCACATACGTCAGACCCAAGTCATTTATAAGTTTTTTTGCCTTATAACATGATTCAGGCAAACAATCCCCTTCAGGCAACATTCTTTTAATTAACTCCAGTAAAGTTGTGAAGATGTCGTCTGGCATTCCCGCTAAACACTTGATCTGATACAGCCTTACAACTGCTTCTAATTTCTTAAACTCCTTACACCCTGGCCACAAATCTTGATCTGGCTCTTCAAGCAACCTAAAAAAAGTCTCCACCTCTTCTGGACGCCCTTCCCCAATAGACGGTTCAATAGACGGCCCAACACCTTCTTCTGTTAATGGTTGGACAAATACATCATTAAGAAAGTCATGCATACCAATCACCTCATCTCATGTTTCTTCTTCTCCAATTGCCACATTTTGCTCTCCAATGTTTTGCTCGCCATGATGTCGCCAGCAAGCATTTTTATAATCTTTATCCATATCATACAATATGAGATGTTCAATAATAGTGTTCCTAACAAAAGTTTATCGATTACAACATCTTTTGCAAGGACATCTAAACTTATCAGGACCAACACCATTTGCAACTGCTTGATCCAAAAACAAATTAATTCCAACTGTATACGCTTCAAAATTTTGAGGTATCGTCAACCAACTCTTGTCCATGTTTTACCAGTTTATGAGGGTAAAATATTACGCTGACACTAAGATGCCTACAATCTTGCAATCCCTATCATGTAGGCATAACTATTAGAATTTTCAATTTCTATCTTTCAACCCTCGAACTCTATCACGATCACGATTGCAATCTTTTAATTTTCAACACCTATTGTAGTAAAAACAAATTAAAATAACAACAAAAAGTTATCAAAATTATGCTCATCTAATCCATTCTAGTAAATAACAACCAAAAGTTAACAAAATAACAATAAATTAAAATAACAATTATAGTGCAAAAGTTATATTTAATATTGTTAATTTAACATAAATGCTTATTTAAATTATTCATTCCATTTTCTCATAACAATTCAAATTGTAAAAAAAATTAATTTAACATAATATATTCTTATATTACTAAAAATGATAAGTTTATGTTATATTAATATTGTTAATTTAACATACATGCTTATAAATATTATTCATTTCATTTTCTCATAACCATTCAAATTGCAAAAAAAAAAAAAATTAATTTAACATAATATATTTTTACATTACTAAATATTATAAGTTTATGTTATATTTAATATTGTTAATTTAACATAAATGCATATAAATAATATTCATTCCATTTTCTCATAACAATTCAAATTATTCTCATCTAATCCATTCTAGTAAATAACAACAAAAAATTATCAAAATAACAACAAATTAAAATAACAATTAGAGTGAAAAAAAAATTAATTTAACATAATATATTCTTAAATTACTCAATATTATAAGTTTAAGTTATATTTAATGTTGTTAATTTAACATAAATGCTTATAGATAATATTCATTCTATTTTCTCATAACAATTCAAGTGACAAAATTAATTTATTTCGCCTAAATATGAAGTAATTTAACAAAAATAATAGAAATTTATCTAACTACTTAAATTACAATTTTTAAATAAATAAACTTGTGTATTATACAATTTAAAAATTAAAGAATTTAGTGATAGAAAACCTGAATTATAGAAGAATTCCGTCGTCGATCAATTCTTTATATACTCAACCAGCTCAAATAAATTCCCTACAACAATAAATTGTATCAAAATATTAAACATAAGAGGAGAAAATAAAAATACTACAAGCAAGAAAAATTTACCTTTGTGAAGAATGAACTTGGAAGAACTCGGAAGGTGAGAGAGAGAAGGTTTGTGAACCGTGAGAATGAGATAAATGCAAGAGGAAAAGATGAACACGGGTGAGTGAATATAAAGACGATCAATCTGTCGCTTACAACCGACACTGGTTTTCAAAATATTTAAAAAAATAAAATATATGTCGCTCAGAACCGACGTAGGATTTAAAATATATAAAAAAATCAATTAGTGTCGCTTCTATATGCGACACGCATACTTAATGTCGCTTAAAAGCGACACTGTTTTATTCAAAGCGACGCCAGTATTTAAAATTATTAAAACGTGTGTCGGTTATAAGCGACATTAAGTATGCGTGTCGCATATAGAAGCGACGCAGACTTTCTAAATCCGACGTCATATTCAGTGGGTGTCGCAACTCTCTTGTGCGCCACTATATGATATTAAACCGACGCAACAACTGACACTATAGGGTCCTTTTGTAGTAGTGCCAGGGTTGTGTGGAGATCCATTGCCAAAGAAATGTGGAAATCCTAAGGCCCCTCAACTTCCACCTCCAACCGTAGACGAAGGTGATTCTAGCTCAGCAGGAATATTTGAATTTGATTGGAAAATTGTTTCGGCCGGATGTGGAAGTGGGTTGGTAGTGGGAGTAGTTCTTGCAGATGTTGTGATCACAAGGAGGCCCGATTTGTTTCTTAAGATTGTTGGAATGATCAGACAAATGATATGGAAAATTTAGAGTACTAGTGGGGGGGGGGGATAGAAATTGAGTTTGTTACAATGTTATGCATCTGTTGTTGTCGTTTGGTTTCTCTATTGTGGTTTCTTTCCTTCTCTATATGTTTAGTTATAAGTTTGTTTTATGTTATGTAAGTGTATGTCCCCCTACTTTCTTGTATTTTCGCCAATTTTCTTTATCCTGTCTTTATTTTGAGTAAAGTTTATGTCCCCCGACTAGGTGTAACTTTTTTTTTTTATTCAATAAAATTTTCTCTCGTACCGTCGAGGTTTCTTTAAAAAGAAAGAAAGCTTCATAGCTTTTAGTTGATTGTGTTATTCAAGTTCAAGACTCTGCCCTATATATCCTACTGTTTTAAGTTATATCAATGTTTGTTCGTATCCTTTAACAAACAAAATGGAGATGAAAGTGATATCAATAAAGATAGTAGAGTGCTGTATATGTTTTCATGGATTTGGATTTTCTGAAATTAGAATGAAAGCAGCTATGTTTGTTTAAAAGGATTCTTGTTCATTCGATTAATTGGAGACACTCTTTTCAATCAAATCAAATCAAAACTTTCCTATGCCTAAGTAACTAAGAATACTTGTACAACAGTTACATATTCAAGAGTAATGTGTATAACTAGAGTTGTATAAATTCTAAAACCAAAGCTACGAAATTTGTACAACATTTCGTAGACTACAAGGGAACTGGTTTAGTAGGAACTGCTTGTAAACTGAATATTAACATCCATCAGTTGTGCAGTGCAATAGGCAACAAATGCAAAAAGATTGGCGGACTTTAAGTGCAAACACAGAAAACATCAATGTAGTTCACCCTAAAACTTGCGTTATCGTTGATGAATAATAGTGTTATCATTTGTATAAATATTTACCTTACAAATTCTCCTCAATAGTTTCCATGCTTATCGTGACTTAATTCTCTTTTATTGTATGAGGACCGCCTAGTAGATATTATTTTATATTTTTATCAT